GCCCGATTCTTCGTCGGTTCGAGTGAATGACGCCACGATGAAACTAGTCGTAGCGGTAGGAGCTGATGCGTACGTTGTTGATTTACGAGAAGCTGAGGCAGAGCAACCGTGCGATTTACAAAAATTGCTCGCCGACATACTGGATGACCCTGTAGCATTATTGAATCAGTACCGGGAAAACTTCCCAGACGCCATACCTCAAAGATTACAATCTTAGAACCGGGGGCACAACCGATAGTACAGCTACAAATTCCAACCAACCTAACACGAACTAGACGAACTGCGAAAGCAGCTGCAATATCTAATGGGAAAAGAACACACACACACACACACACACACATGCATGCACACACACATACACGTGCACGCGCACACAAACACCCACACACATACATACACACACAACACACACATACACGCATACACGCACACACACATACACGCACACACACACACACACACACACACACATTCATATGAATTCATTGCCATTCGTCGCACCCATAATGTTCATACTCAGAAAAAAGACAGGGAAATTCGCATGTGGATGGGCTACCCCACATTGAATAGGGTTATGATTAAGTCCGATTGCCTGATCCCACAAACCGACGAACTGATCAACCAACTTTACACATCCTGCACCTTCTCGAAGATCGTCCTCAGAGGGGGTTACCATCAATCCGCGTTTACTCACCTGTTTGTCCAAAAATCGCCTTCAACAGCCCCTGTAGATCATTTGAACATACGGTCATGCCCTTTCTATTTGACGATAAACAAGGTCGTCCACCCCCTTTAAGATAGCTGCATCATCGTCTACCTCAACGACATACTATTTTACAGTTCTAATGAGATGGACAGGCTTGGCAACTAATGACAAACTTGACCGAGCTGCAATATTTCCTGGGGTTCGTCAGCTACGTGCATCGGCTCGTCCTCGACATGGCGCAGCTGACTGCCCCGCTAAAAGACTTACTGAGGAGGGGGGTTAAGTACACGTGGATGGGGGGGGGGGGGGGAGGGGGAGCGGGGCGGGGGGGTAGGGTGGGGGGGGGGAAGAGCAAGCTGTCTTCTTTGCCTTGAAACAAAATTTGTGCTTGCCGCCCTTTCTCCACATTGCTCATCCGTACTATCCTCTCGAGCTTGTCACCGATGCAAGCAACATCGCGGTTGGAGCTGTACTATTTCCAGACTTTGGAAATGGGCTTCAGCCAATTGCGTACGAGCCCCGCAAGCTTCACGCGCTTGAGCGTGTTTAACTGATACTCGACTGCGAGGTGCTCACGATTGTGCACGCGTTTTAAGTAAGGTGCTGCTACCTAACAGGAGCAGACATAAAACTATGGACGAACCATTGCTCGCTACGGTACCTTCGCGCCCAACCAAGTTTATACCCGCAACAGATACGGTGGTTGGACTATATGAAGTCCAATTATCACTACACCGTAACGTATAAAAAAGAAGTGCATCAAATATTGCAGACGCCCTCACTCGCCCCATTGCCAATTACGCACCACACTACACGCCCAGACCTACCCACTACTGACTGGACCGTAAGGACACATTTTTCACCACTAGAAATTTGCAGCTGACACTGGCTAAGCGAGCCTATTATCCGAAGTGCTGCGAAAACTGCTATTGCAAGAGGCATGTGATGGGAATACTTTGAGGGCATTACAGAGTTGAAAAAATGCGACAGCAACTGCAACGTTACTACTATTGGTCGGAGCTGCTGACCGACATACTGTGCCACGTAGGACCATGCCCCACGTGTTAGTTGATGAAAAGTTCGCAACAGAAAAATGCAAGTCAACTGCAGTCAATTCTACCGCCCGAACGCGAATGGCATGGATTTCATGGGGACATTTGCGAGCCCCAGTGGTAATGATGCGGCCATGGGCGTTGATTGACTGGATGATGAAGATGGTCCATTTCGTTACGTGTAAAAAAACCAATCTCATCCGAAGAAACCGTTCGCCTGCATGGGATACCTGTCGCGATCATCAACGACACGAAGTCCATAAGCAACTTCCGGAAAAAAATTTGGGAGCAGTTTGGGACCCAGCTACAGTTAAGCTCATCCTACCACCCCGAGACAGACGGACAAACGGGGAGAACGAACCAGACAATGGAGCAACGAATTCGCGCCACGTGTGACGATCCGAGAACCTGGGAGCAACAGTTGCTGCTGATCGAGCTCCACTTCAATAACGCCGCGTGAGCTACCATGCAACAGCCACCGTTCTGCCTCAACTATGAGCAGGACCCTACAATGCCCTTGTCGCTAAGTCTAGACAATCCGACCACCTCATTTAAAAAACTGCCAGTCTTTGGTATCCATTTGAATGGAGGGGTTCAAAGTTTTTCGGAACTTAAAAAGTTGCCCCAAGACTATGAGGCATATTACACAAACACTAAACCTCGCTGACAATTGTATACTGAAGCTATAAAGCTTGGATATATTAATCTGAAAGGCAAATGGTCCTTGCCAAAAGGAACGCCGATCGCCACCGGTGCCCCGTGACATACCAATCAAGAGACTACATGTTACTCGACACTTAGTATTTGCTCCTAACCGTCATGCCAAAACTTTGTCAGCGCTACCCATAGTCAAGCCCTTCACCGCCCACATGCTACCCGCCGGCCGGTACATGAGCCCGCTGTTCTCCATCAGCTTACTTTGACCGTACAACTTGACCACTAGCCAGCTGCTACGACATCTCCTGCCCTCGATGACCCGTCGTATCGGAGCCTATCGTCGATCTCGAGAAAACTCTAAGCCATCAAGTACTTCACCCTCAAGGATTTCATAAAGTCGAATTCATCGTCCACTGGAAAGACTGCACCCCCACTGAAGACAGCCAGGTGCCCTAAGGCAGCATGATTTACAACCCTGTCGTCCAAGTGTACCCACAAAGTGAGGGATTTCGCGATATATACGCACTCACGGGGGTTGTGTAAGGAGTTTTTTTACATTCCTTACATATCTCTGCATCCTGTACAAGACTGACTGTTCTTCGCCTATTTCGTCTTACACTGTAGTGCGCAATCATTTTACGAGATAATATGCTATGTCAAAACCTTCGGGAGTGCTGATAGAACTTGCCGATTCTCCCAATACAGATGTGTGACACTGTATACAATTGTTATATAAGGGTGGGTCTATCGCGTACGATTATATATACTTTACAGACAGTTCATCTGTCGTGGTTAGAGACAATTGTTACGAATAGTAATATTTAATTATTACTATGCACTCCTCACCACAGCAAGAGAAGCACGCAGTATCGAGAATGAACGCGAAGCGTCAGACAGTTGGAATTGAATCGAAGCGTCCGACGGTTACAGCGCATCTGGACCGTCGGAGCAGACGGCATCGGGCAGCTGCAGGCAGGATGGTTTTGGCGGGAACAGTTACGAAACTGTACGCGCCGCACGGTTGGGAATGTATTTGAATAAGGGAATGTACCCCTTAGAGTACATGACAGCCCTGTACTCATATTTATATTTGCTGTATTTGCATGTTTTTATTATCTCAAAGCATTTTACATTCACTCTGCTATTGAGGTCAAAGGCCCACAAACATCACTTCTCTGCGTGCGAACCTTCCTGAGTAGATCCTAGGTGGCGATCAACTTCTGATCGCAGCAACAATATCAGGAAGTGCACAGCGATTTTCATTCTTCACTGATTTACACTGTGGCGCAATAAGATTACCGTAACCGCATAGGATGAACCTTAAACCCGAAACCCTGAACCCAAGTGCTTGACTCTCCCTAATAGAATAAGGCCAAGATGAAGATTTTGGAGAAATGTTCCATAAGAGGGTAGCTGCCGAGCCAACCTATACAACCAAACGGGTACAAGAAAGGAAGGAGCGCGCGAGGGGCAACGAGGGTTTCAGTTCAGTTGCCGCAGCTCATCATCCAGCTCAACGTTATTGACTGCTCCACCGTCATTCAAACGTAACGCCGACGTCTGCAAAAACCGTTCAATGGTGCCAGCTGGACCACAGGCCAATCGTGGGTGCGAACCTTGCAACGGAGGGCCAAGCAGGGAAGGAAACGGAACCGAACAGTGTGGCTGGCAATGTCACAGAAGCTAGGGCGTTGGCCAATCAGAGACAAGTCATTCGGTTCTCTGTTGCCCACATCATCGTACCCACCCACCGTCGCGGTGTTGTTACTGTACAGCATCAGTTCAGTTTTTGCTCCAAAGAACCACCCTCCAGCGATACACTACACCACACAGAAACACACTACACCGATGCATGTTTTTTCTGCGTGTGCTTCCCGGTTTCGTCGAAAGGATGGGTGAGTGGGTGCTGTATGTGCTGGCGGGAAGGACAGCGATTGCTTGTGAAAGGGCCATGGTAAAATCTGGTGCATTGCGTTTCGGTGTGTTTGAGTACGTTGCCCTGCACTGGAGTGACACTTTTTTTCCCGGTACAGCCCGAAAACGCCACGCGACGCGAGAGGATGAAAAGGAAAGAAATCCGCGCAGGGGCAGGTCACGGAAGCAGCAGCGCAATCGCTCGCCTCCCTGGTGCTGCCGCTTCCGTCCGTCCGAGTGACAGCATCGTGGAAACTAGAGAACGGAAATACCTTCCCTTCCCGATGGCTTTTGATCACTACAGTTCTGTCTGCTCCCTCGCGTGCTCAGTCCAACTCAGCTCACAGCTCATTCAGACAACGCCTCCCTCCCGTCTCTCCTCCTGAGTCGTCTTTGGGTATTCCTGTAAATGTAAGGACTTTTACGGGCCGCCGCTTTTCGCGCTAGACACGGTTTCTCTTTTAATCTCCCCGTTGCATCGCGGTAGTGAATAGTGCTAGGAAAGGACTGCATAGCCACTCGTTACTGACAGGAGTAGGACAGGAAAGAACGAGAAGCTTTTAGGAGCCAATAAGAATTTCACCTAAACAAACGAATAGCACCAATGGCTGAGTTCTCTCCGCTTTGTCATGGCTCCCCGGGTACCTCCAATTTCTGCGTAACTTTAACGAATGACGCGGGTCGGGAAGTCTCTCCGTGGCACGGTGTGCCTTTCCGAGCCGCCTCAGGCGCTTTCCACGTCGTCTGCGCTACGCCGAAGGGCGCCTGGGCTGATTGCCACGTGGCAACGCAAGACCGGCTAGAGCCTCTGCGTCATAACTTGAAAGAAACAGAAGCGTTTTCTGGTACTAGTAACGGTAGTAGCGCCGACACGACACAGGTTATCGAGCTCCCGCGTCCTTCTCCCTGGAACTGTGGAATCGTTCCGCAAACATCCGCGGCGCGGCGCGCGTCCGCGGCGGAAGCGGGGCTTCCCTCCCCCTCTGCGCAAAACTACTTTCTCTCGCCAGAAACAAATTCCTCGAAAGAAAACGGAACCAGTAGCGCGTGCAGCAGGGGGGCAATCACGCGCCGCGCTTCGCTGCCCGCAACTCCCGCGGCCCACGCCGCTCCCTCCGCAGCCGCGTCTGACGGGCCGGTGGAAGTGGTGGAAATCGGGGGGCGAGCGCGCGCTATCGGGGAGGTGTATGCGGTGGAGGCGGTAGCTGCGATGGGCGTGCAGGATAGGCAGAGCGGCCGCCTTCTGTGGACCGTCGTGGCCGTGGCGCGCGACGACGCCGCGCCGCCGCTCGAGCGCCGCGCCGGGGAATGCTATCTGGCGGGGGGGATGGATGGCGGGGAGGACGGGGGGAAAGGGGAGGGGGGAGTGGAAGAGGAGGCGGGAGAGGGGAGGACGGGTGGGATGGAGATGGGGTTGAGGAGGGGGGGCGTAGCGGGGAGCGGTGGGGAAGGCGGGGCGCGCCGCTGCGCGTGGTGTTGCGAGAGATACGGGAGTGGCTCAAGTTCCAGCAGTCGAATCAAGGTACTGCTAGTTAGTTCTGTCCCAGCGTCTTGCGTGCTGTGGATGCGAAAGGGATGTCTGGAGCACCACTGGCAGTGGCAGGTCTAGCTAGCGTCTGCACTCGCTCATGGTCGCGATATCGTGCTGGCGACACGGCGCGCACTGGTGCTCGACTCTCGCCTGTGTACCGCGCCGAACCGCACTGAATCTGGGCTTTTTGCGGAATCGGTCCTCGCACCAGTCTCCGTGTTCGTCGCGTGCGACGCCACGCCGCTTGCATCATATCGCACCTGATGCTTCCGCCACTCCTCTTCTCTCCCTTCCCTGCTTCTTTCACCACTTCTCGTTGTTTCCGCCTTCCTTGGACTTCTTCCGTCAATCCCTTCTTCTTCCCCTTTCCGTTTCCCGTTCCGTTGCCGCCTTCCAACCCCCCTTTTCGCTTCCCGCTTCCGCGTCCTCCTTTCGCTTCCCTATTCCGGTTCCCGCTTCCGCCAGAGCCGCTATTCGCGCAGCATCTGTCGCCACGCGAGGTCTTCTGCGAAACCGACCCCCTGCGCGTGTCCGCCGTGCTGCTGGACGCGCACGCCGCCTGGCGGAGCCTCTGGGGGGAAGCGCGCGCGGGGAGACCGCGGAGCGCCTCTGGCGACGCGGACGCGGGGGGATGGGGAGGCGCGCGGAAAGGGAGTCCCGCGCAACGGGCGGCGCGGGGGGGAACGCCGTTGAGGGGGCGGTCAGGTCCGTTACAGAGCAGGGTCCGGGAGTACGGGCAGGAGAAAAAAAACCCGCTGGGCAGGAAGAAAAGTTGGCAGGGCTGGACTGAGGACCCGCGGGGAGAGCTGGAGGCATGGCAAGAGCGGGCATGGCCGTCTAGTAATAGCGGATTGCTGCAGGGGGGAAATGATGCCAGAGAGGGTAGCAGTGGCAGTGGCGATGCTGGTGGTGGTGGTGGTGGCAGCGGTGGTGGTGGTGGTGGCAGCGGTAGCTCTAGTGGCGTTTCCATGCACGCAAGCTCGGTTGACTGCACCGATCGTTACTCCCCCATTCCTTACTCCGCCCCGCTGCCCGATTCCCTTCTTCCCCACTCGTGCCCCTTCCCCAACCCCCCCTCGCTCCCCTCCTCCTCCTCTCTCCCCCTGTCCTCCTTCCCCACCTCCTCCTCTCTCCCCCCCTCCTCCTCCCTCCCCCCGTCCTCCTCTCTCCCCCTCTCCTCCTCGCTCTCCTCCGCCTCCTCTCTCCCTGCCGCGTCGTCGTGCATCAAGAAGGCTGTGTTTGGAAGCTCGCTGCTGGCGGCGTGGGATAGCGACGAGGGAGAGGAGGGGGAGAAGGATGAGGATATTTATAATCATGATCACTATGCTTACGGCCGTAACTATTCTGCTCAACACGCACCCCATGCTGCTGCTGCTGCAACTCGTGGCACATATGGTGAATCAGAATCTTCTGCTGCTGCCGCCGCCAGCGCACGAGCAGACAACAGCAGCGCGCACAACCAGACTGCGCAGGTCAGGCCTGGGAGCAAGGCAGGGCGGAGGCGGGAGGCTGCGGAAGGGCCTGGAGGCGCGGCAGGGTCGGCTGGGGCAGCAGGGGCAGCAGGTGCAGCAGGGGCAGCAGCGCCGGAACGGGAGGCGGAAGGGCGGCGTAACCTGCGGCGAGCGATCATGGGACGGCTGAAGCGCACAGCCCACAGCTGGAAAGAGGGGTTCAGTGGGGGGAGAGCAGGTGCGGAAGAGAGGGAGAGGGAGAGGGAGAGAGTAAGGAGTGGGAGGAGTGGGAAGAAGCGAGCTGGGTCGGACGACTTGAGCTGTGTGCGGGAGGGGAGTGCGGTGGAGTGGAGTCATGCGGAGTCCAGTGCGGTGGGAGGCTCGCTGCTGCGGCTGAGGAGTCACGAAATCCGATCCCTGGATTGGGGAGGGGAGAGTGGGGAGGAAGCTGGGCCAAAGGGGCAGCAGCATCTGAGGGATATGGAAGATGGAGAAGAGGAAAAATTGGAGGGGAGGGAGGGGGTGCATGATCGGAAGAGATCCGAGGATGTAGGGTTTGGGAGTGTGGAGAGTGCACGGAGTGTGGAGAGTGACGAAGAAGGGGAGGAGGATGAGGAGGAGGAGGGGGGGCTGGATGAGGCTAGGAGAGTGAGGATGGAGCAGCAGATGAGGGCTATGCTGCAGGAAGAGGAGAGCGGCGAGCAAGGGGACGGAACGGGAAGAGGCGCAGTGGGTGCAGCCGGATGGGATGCAGGAGCAGGGAGAGAAGGTGGTGAGTCACGGCAGGAGCAGGAGTGCTCAACGCGAGTTGCTAGCCCGCCCTTTCCGAGACTCGGCTCTTCTCCTCGGCCTGTGACTGTTTCTGCTGACGCTGCCGATGCTGCTGCTGGTGACTCTCTCTCCCCTCCTGCTGTTGCTGTGCCCAGTGGGCGTGGAACAGGTGCAGTCGTCTCACCTGCTACTTGCTCCCCTGTAGATGACTCTGCAGCACCACCAAATACTTTTAGCGTTTCTCCTTCTGCTGCTGCTGTTTCGTCTGCTGCTGCTGGTGCAACCGTGGCTGCTGCTGCTACGTGTGAAGCATGTGGAGCGGGACGGTATAGTGGGGGAGTAGTCTCTGCCCCTCCCCTCCGTGCACACCGGCACAGCCACACGTGCAGCAGCAGCAGCTGCAGCATCAGCATCACAACCAGCCTCAGCAGCAGCTCCAGCATCGGTGGTATCAGCAGCAGCACCAGCAGTAGCATGAGCAATCTGAGCAGCAAGGGGAGCGCCAGTCAGGCACACCAGCAGCACCACCGCCACCAACAGAACCACAAGCAACAGCAGCAGCAGCAGCAGAAGCAGCAGCAGCGTGGAATGATGCATGTGCGGCGCAGCAGTGACAGCAGCAGCAACCTCTTCCTGCGCCGCCTCTGCCGCTCCTCAGCCAGTACCACCACCTCCCCCTCCCCCTCCTCCTCCTCCTCCCCCACCCCCGCCTCCCTCACTCTCTCCTCCTCCCCAACCATCCCCTCCTCCCCCACCCTCTCCTCCTCCCCCACCCCCTCCTCTTCCTCCCCTCCGGCTCCCCGCCAGCTGCACCCCCTACGTCTGCCCTCCGTTCCCAAAGCCTTTCTTGCCCCGTCGTCCTCTCGCCCGCACTCCTCCCACCACCACCGGTCGAGCTCAGCGCGCCCCTCCCCCCACCAGTCGCCGCGCTCCGCGCGTGCTGCTGCTGCGCGCTTCTTCCCCAGAGGCGCCTCTGTGGGCTCCGCTGCTCCCTCGGCGCTGGGAACAGGTGCGCTTGGGACTTGGGAATGGGGGTGGGGTTGAGGTTGGTGTGGGGAATGGGGATGCGGTGCGGTGGTGTGGGGATGGGGTTGGGGGTGTGGGGGTATGGGTGTGGTTACGGATGGGGATGCAAGCACAGGCTTGGGCGTGAGCATGAGCTCATGCCGTACTCACTGCCCTGTGAACCCACCTCCCTGTGCCCTCACCTCCTCCCTGTGCGCTCACCTCCATCGCACTCATAACGCCCTCTTGCTTGTCAAGGGGTTGCCACCGCTGACACAAGCGCTCACAGAGTTTCCCCCTTTCAACCTGTTCCCACCCCTGCTGATGCACGCTGCACGCCGGGGAATCCCCCAGTGCTTCCCCCCCCCACGTGCCACTGCTGACACGACATGCGCTCACATAGTCCCCCCTTCTCTCCCCTTCCCCCCCCCTCTCCCTGTTGCACCCATGGCAGCGTCACAGCACGCCAGGGAATCCCCCACTGCCTCCCCCACGTGCCACCGCTGACACACCATGCGCTCACAGAGTTCCCCTTTTCTCCCTGTTTCTCCCCCCCCTTTGCTGCCGCATCCGTGGCAGGGTCACTGCACGCCAGGGAATCCCCCACTGCCTCCCCCACTTCTGACAGGCAGGTTCCCTCCTCCCCCCTTCCATGCCTCACAATGTTCCCCCTTTCTCCCTTTCCACCCCCTTGCTGTTGCACCCATGGCAGGGTCACAGCACGCCAGGGAATCCCCCACTGCCTCTCCCACGTCTGACAGGCAGGTCCCAGCTGTTAGGAGCCTCATCGGCCCTCTGCTCACTCCGCAACCACGCAGCTCCTCCCACCACAGCAGCACCGACGGCAACAGCACCAGCGGCAGCGTTAGCAGCGGTGCCAGTAACAACAGCAGCCGAAACGACGGGAGTGGTAACAGCGGCACGAGCAATGGCAACAGCAGCAGCAAGAGCAGCAGCAGCAGCAGCAGCAGCAGCGGTGGTGTGTGGGGTGGCAGCAGGACGCCAGATCCTGGCCGCACTGTCCCCAGCCCCAGGTACTTTGGCCCTGCCGACACCACTACCCCTCCTGTGCCCCCTGCTCCCCATACTCCCCCTGCTCCCACCTCCTCCACCGCCTCCTCCTCCCCTCGCTCCTGCCTCTCCCCTCGCAGCTCCCTCTCCCCCACGCGCAACAAGCATGGCAGTGGCAGTGGGGGGACCAGTAGCACTGGGGGGACCAGTGGCCCTGGGGGACCAGTGGCAGTGGGGGCGGAAAAGGCGCGGCGTTGCACCGTCGCCTGCGCTTCCCCTTGCGTGCCCTGCGCTCCCTCAGTCCCCCTGGCGCTGCTGCTGCTTCCGTCGCTGCCGCTTCCGCCGCTTCTGCTGCCGCTCGTACTAATGCCAATCCTGCTGCTGCTGCTGCTGCTGCTGGTCCCACCAGTTCAGGAGGGTCAGGAGGTGGAGAGTGGCTGGATTCGCATGCGATCTCCACAGGAGTAAGTACTAGAACAGGCATACTTGGGAGCGAGAAAGAGAGAGGAATGGCGGGTGAGAAGGAACGGGAGGGTGCATCTCATGCAGGCTCATTGTCACACTGTGGAAGTGCGGCTGCCTCTCGAGGCTGCCCTCCCAGCACCCCTTTATCCAACTCTCCCCCTCATCCCACCTCCGCTGGCCCACCTCCCGTCCACGCCCTCACTCCCACACTACCCCCCACACACCCCTGTGCTCGTGGCTTGCTGCACGCGTCCCCCTCTGCGCCCAATACTCCCCCCGCTGCTGCCGCTGCCCCTGCCCTGCCCTCGCCACTGCCATCCCCGACCCAGCAGCAGCAGCAGCAGCAGCATCACCAGCAGCAGGAACAGGAGCAGAAGCAGGCTGCTCCAGCCGCAGCAGGGGCAGCAGCAGCAGGGCATCGCAGGCAGCGCAGCAGGTGGCGCAAGATAGAGCTGTGTGCCCCGCGACCCACCCTCACCGCACACCACCGCGCCAGCAGCACTGGCGATTTCTCCCGCCTGTGCTCTCGAGGCACACCAGGAGAGGCTTTGGAAGGTGGGAGAGAGCGCGGGTGGGAGGGGTGGGGAGGAAGCAAGGCGTGTGAGAGGTATGAGGGATGGCAGAGGAGGGAAGGAGGGGTTGTGGGGATGGGTGGAGCAGGGCGGGTGGGTGGCAGGATGGGGGTAGGGAGAGGGGATGGGGGCGTTTTGGAGGGTGGTGCTGATGGGGCAGGTTGTGCGTGGATGGGTGGGAGGGAGTGGGTGGATTCCGGAGCTGCGGCAGCAGAAGTGGTGGTGGCGGCAGCGTCAGCAGCATGCAGTGTGTGGTACCATACTGGTCATGGGCATGCGCACATGCGGGGGCAGGAGGAGGGACAGGGGGAAGAGGAGGAGCAGGGGCAGAGGCAGGGAAAGGGGCGAGTGGGGTCTGGTGGGCTAGGCGGAGTGAGTGGTTCAGTTGTGTATGGCAAGGGTGCTGACACACATGGTGCTGGTGCTGCCAGTGCTTCCAGTGCTACTACTGCTGCCAACGCTACCACTGCTGCCAGTGCTACCACTGCTGCCAGTGCTACCACTGCTGCCAGTTCTGATATTGCTGCAAGAGGGGAGCTTAATAACGACCTTAGTCTACGGTGGATGGGAGGTGATGATGCTATGAGGGGTGACTCTAACGAGCGTGATGATTGTGGCGACGTGCATGGTGTGCCGGGGATGTGTGTGTTAGAAATGATGCACAAGGGAACATGGGATAGTGAGGCTGAGGAGGAGGATGAGGAGTATGAGGAGGAGGGTGAGGTGGTGGTGAAAGAGGATGAAGAGGAGCAAGATGAGGAAGAGGAGGAAGAAGAGGAAGACGATGGCAAGGATGGTGTGTGTGGCAACCATAAAGACAGCAAGGAGGCCCCAGCAGCACATGGTGGACACCCCTACTGCCATTCCCCCTCCCAACACCCCTCCGCTTACTCCCCTCCATCCCACCAGCCATCTGCCTGCAAACCGTCCCACTTTCATTGCGGGAACCTCAGCAATGAAGCGGACAGAAGTGTAGCGTGTGTGGCTGCAGGTGAGCAAAATGCCAGAGACACGACGAGTCATGCTGGGGGGGTGGGTGTTGGTGACTGCCACAGCCATCACCACCACCACCATCACCAGCGAGTGCGGTCGTTTGAGTTTGTCGGCATGGTTGGGCCCCACAAGGGCCGCAGCATTGCCACCACGAGGACAGATGCGGCGGCGGCAACGGCGGCGGCGGTTACTCACCTCACCTCGTTTGCTTGAGGGTTCACCTCGTTCACTAATCTGCTCAATTCTTAAAATTTTCATTGGTGCTGCCACTTGTTGATGCCAACCTATGGTGTTGTTTGCAGCATTGCATGTTAGTTTGCATAAGATTATATTGATTTGTGAGGAGTGAAGGCATTTTTTATGCCCCTTTCTTGAACATATATCATGAACGACTTTCTCAAGATGTGTTGCGTTGTGTATGGTTTCAATTAAGATTTCGCTAATTTCCTGACAAATTACAATGTAACTAAAACTTGAGAGGTACAGCAAATGCCTCGTTAACAAAGAAGTCGATAACGGGCCTTCCCCCTCCAAGAATTCCATTCTCTGGTGAATCTACTGGGTTATTTTCACTGTTATTTGTCCTGCAAGTTTTTTTTCCAGGTGTTCATTCTGCGAGACTTAACAGTGCGTTCGGTGTTCTTTTCTCTTCTCGCGACTGTCAGGTGAAGAAAATTGCCAAGGATCCCTGCGATGCTGACTAAATGATTTGAAAGTCTCTCTTTTCTAGCAAAAGTGCATTACGATTTGTAGCCTTTATGTTTAGTGTTGATTCTGGTCTCAACCCGTGATTGAAAGGGCAAGTTCGGAGCACCTCAGCTTCCCAAGTTCTGGCCTCAAACCAATCGACGGCCCTGATTTAGAGCCAATGAAAGGCCTAGTTTCTTCAAAGATATTCCTCTCCCTCCGTGCGAAAATGGAATCCCACTCGAAAACGGTGTGCAGGAAGCAATGAAAGACCCTTGAAAGATGGATACACCTAGCCCGCGCCAAATTCACTAGGGCCATTTTCAACCCCCCCTTGTCGCTATGTGGGTCAGGGAGGTTGGGTGCTGCACGGGGGCGCCCCCCACAAACCCCCCTACAAAAATGTTATGGCCAATTTCACCCCCCCCACCACTACAGACAAGCTTGACCAGTGGGGGGGGCGTGAAATTGTCGAGGGCTAGGTGTACTACAGTTCCCCAAAGCTGGAAACCCCATTTCCACACCACATCTGTTTACACAACTAAGCTTGTTCTTGCGACATGGACGACTGGCCTCGTGCCACGCCCCCGTGTTGCAATCGCCGCACGCGGGGGTGGCAGAAAGGTCGTATGTGTGTTGGGGTTGTCGGATGAAATAGTACTGTGCGAAGCTAGCTAGCTCCGAGTTTTCCTGGCACAGCAGGGCCTCGTGTGGCTGCTTTTGAGGAGCAGATCCAGGTGGTGTGGGGACGTTTGGACTCACTCCCAGAGACGCGCTCGTGCGGCGACTACTATGCAGACACTGGAAAACACGCATTGCGAGACGCTGGGCGAAACAAGACAAGCTAACACCCGCCCCAAAGCACTGCTCGATTTAGACGGCGCAGCGGTGCGCAAGCAATAGGATACCCCTCTTCTCTCTTTCATGCAGAAGAGTCTTCTGGCGAACACTCCGAGTCGTATTACTAGGTAAGCGTAGGAGGAATCGAACGAAGGTTCTCCACGGTAGGTGGAACCATTTTCCGGATGGATGGAGGGCACCTACCGTGGAGAACCTTCTTGACTAACCGTGGAGGACAAGATGATATAGACTCGAGCGGCCACCGTTAGTCTGCATTGTCTTGTAGTAGGACGAGCGGAGTGTCGCCGCCGGCGAACCAAGCGATGTACTAAAGATGCTTCGGTGCATGATTTGTCCTTTTAGCTGATGCTCTGCGAGGCTGAGTCGGGCAGAACCGGCGTTTGCTGCCGCCGGTGCTCGGTTTTGGGCACTACAAATCCATCTTTGTGCTGCGAGCTTCGTCATGTGCAGAATGTAACGCCTGTAGGCTAGTGTTGAGGACATTCCGCTGCGCCAAACAACACCCTCGTTATGACCTAGTGGGTAGCAAGGTGTTACACTGGTATCAGAACCTAGGGTTCGATTCCCGGCTGGTCCACATTGTCCGCTGCGAGCGATGCCTGGAATGTGGTGACCTGTCGCGAACCAAACGAACGGTCCTCCGCCGACCTGACCTCACCAGCGAAGCTGTTGCTAGGAGCACAGCGAATAGGTCCCTGCTGGGGCCGACTCCCTGAAGGCTCGCCAACAAGAACGTTGGCACCAGGGGGGGACGAGTGTAACGCCTGTGGGCTAGTGTTAAGGGCATTCCGCTGCGCCAAATAACACCCCCTTTGACCCAGTGGGTAGCGAGGAGTTATACAGAACATGGGCCGCGTGAGCGCCGCGGTCGTGGAGTCGGCACCTCCCGACCTCCCCCGCCTCCACCAACCCCCCGACCCCCCCCTCTTCCCCTCCCATTCCTTCCCCCCGCCCGCGCGGGCTCGACTACTACTACTATCTACTACTATTGTCACGGAGCCTTGCTGAGTTGGTGGGTGCGCGACAGGCGCGCTCGGGGCGAGCCACGGCATGGTTCTCCCCTGTCATGACTCTCCTCTGCTCGCCCTTCCTTGCCGCTCGCTCTGGCAGGCGGGGAGCTTCCCAGCCAAGGCCCCACTGCATTTCTCGCCCACTGTGGCGTCAGAGCT